CTAGTAGTAACAAGAAGCTAGTAGTAACAGGTGCATCGCTTCTAGTAACAAGTGCCTTAATAGTAGTAACAAGAAGCTAGAACGAATCCTTTCGACTTCAGGTGCTGGCTGCCCTGGGCGGCCGAAGCGTGGATCGCCCTACCATCCAGTCAGCAGCGCAGTAGATGTCTTGCAAAACCAACAGAACACGTGCAAAAGAGACGACAAAGAAGAACAAGAAGCAGTCAATCCTTTGGAAGAACACGATGTCACGGTTTTTTTGCTGCTTTCGTATCCCTTGTATCAAATCCTTTTTTCCTGAAATGTCTAGAAGCGGCAAAGAAGCCAAACAAGACCAACAACGAGTCTTTTGTCTCAAAGTCAATTGCCTGGGCATTATCGGGTTGAGACTAGGTTTCGAGCAGCTCCCTTGCCTGGCAAGACTTCGCTACCGCCTCAAGAGGTTGTTTGAGCAAAGGAGCAACATGATACACGATGTAAAGACCATTGCAAGTGGCATGGTGTTCCTTTCTTGCTTTTTGGTGGAGTGTTCCTGCTTTCCTTCGACTGTGTGTTCCTTTGTTTCCTCCTTGAGTTTTCTTCCTGAGTCAACTCCTCCATGTCATTTAGTTTTCTTTTGCTGGATTCCAGGCACTGGAATGATACATTTCTTTGTTCCTTCAGGTCAAGCAAAAGCCGAACGTCGACTTCTCCTTCCGCTTTCCTTCTCAATGCAGATGCTCCACTCTTGCGTGACACTTTTCAGCACAATGGAATGATACCTACCATGTGTAGCGACTATGCTATACAATGGTCAGGTCCGAATATCCGTGATGCGGTGTATCAGTCCATGATGGATTGGCAAAGAATCAATCACTTTCCAAACTCGACAGAGTTGACAAGGAAAGACCGCCTGTGGTTGCATTTTGCCCAGATGGCCAAAAATTATGGCAAGGGTTGTTTTGACTTTGTCCCAGAGACTTATGTCTTGCCCGACAACTTCGATGCATTTCTCAAGTGTTATCAGCGATCACGATGTCACTGGATAGTGAAGCCGAACGCGTCCTCTAGAGGCAGAGGGATTTTCATTTTACAGGATTTGTCAGAGCTGCCATTGGACGAGACAGTTGTTGTATCCCGTTACATCGCAGATCCGCTGTTGATTCAAGGCTACAAATTCGACTTGCGTGTCTACGTCTTGGTGACTTCATACGACCCTTTGAAAGCCTACATCTACCGTGAGGGATTGACCCGTTTCGCTTCAGCCCCATACAGCACCCAGGAAGACCACATGCAGGATGCCTTTAGGCATCTCACAAACTATTCAGTCAACAAGAACTCCTACACCTTTGTGGAAAACAGTGACATGCGAGCTGACAATGTGGGCCACAAATGGAGTTTGTCAGCACTCAACAAGCATTTGCGTTGCATTGGTGTTGATGTGAACTTGATGTGGGTTCGAATCATGGATCTCATCGTCAAAACACTGTTGTTGCTTTGTGTGCACAGTTACATAAGTTTTTATTTCCCTATGTTCACCAAATGAGTGCCAATGTTAGCTTTTGCATTTGCCCCTTTGGCCCCGTTGGATGTCAACAGAGTTGTTTGGTTTGGATTTGCATCTCCAAGATCGGTTGAGCCAGCCATAAGCAGCAAGACCAAACAGCTCATTGGAAACCGAGAAAATTGCTTCGAACTCTATGGATTTGATGTCCTTGTGGATAGTGACTTAAAGCCATGGCTGCTGGAAGTGAACTTGAGCCCAAGCATGCAGGCTGAACCTCCACTCGACTGGCAAATCAAGAGCTCTCTGTTGGCGGACACTTTCAACCTTGTTGGAATTGGCTCGAACGAGAAACCCACTCCAAAGCTTGAACGCCTGAGAGGGTCTTATTCCCAGCCTTGGAAGCAAGCAAACAAGGAAACTCCAAAAGTGGATATTCCGGACATAGATGACAGCCATGCGCCACTGGTTTTAAATGCGCTTTCTGATGCGAACTTGAAGATGCTGACGAAGTCCATTGGAGAACGCTCGCGATGCCACAATTTTGTGGTGCTCTTCCCAACGCGCGCTGCTGTGAAACGCTATGGCATGATTACGGAAGCTCGAGCCCAGTCAGCACCTCGGACTGGTCTCACTGGGCTCATGGCCAAGTTGAATCGCTGTGTATCGCAGTCTCAGATGCTGGCGTCCATACTCTATGGTCCGTATCCTTCGAGATCTATCACAGAGGTGAAAAGACTATCTTCTAGGGAGACGTTAGACCAGCTATTTCTTGATGACGTGGATGATTGGCCGACAGAAGAACCAATAGAACAGCGGAACCGCGTGGTGGCAGACCTGGATACCATTTTGCAGGCTTCAAGTCCGATCACCTGGAAGGACAGCAAGGCTTCAGCAAGGATCATGTCATTCGTTCGTTTGTATTCTTTGAGCGTCTATATGTAAATAAGACAAGCAGTTTAATTAGCTGATGTTCCGGTACTTACGGTACCTTCACAGCTCTATGAGGTTTCAGGATCTGAGTAAATCACATTGGCTTAGATTGCCTAGGTTCCTTTTGTATGCAGGATCCCAGACCCGCCTTTTTCGCAAAGCCTCTTCCTGCTGCTGTGAACCCTACAGTGGAAACGGAGCTGCGTCAGGCAGGCAAACTCAGGTTTTGCCAAGAGGGTGGATGACATTGGGGCCTCAAACTCTATCAAGGTACGCATAAGACCAAGGGAAGGGACCGGACCTAGTTGTACTACGCAGTTGCAAGCCATTTGCCTTTTGGATTCCTTCGGGCTTTTACTGAACAATTCAGCTTCAATTGGCCGTGCCTGCAGACCGCTCTTAGCTCGGCATGGCGGGCGCTGGGTGCATTGTCAGGCAAGGTTGCTGTCACCGAAAAGAGACTGCCAACAAATAAAACTAGAGCAGGCACTGAGGCCTCTTGCATGTGTCTTTCTACAGCAAAATTAAAGCTCGAGGTTAGATCATTAGAATCATTAGCCTTCAAGCAACATTGCTAGACTCCCTGGGGGCACTATGCCGCGCAGGTACTTCCAGAAGAAGTTCAGTCGTAAAGGCTTTGGATGTTGGGGTTCTGGTCGTGTTGGTGTTTTGTATCCTCATTCTGAAAGTCTCAAGGAGCCTTTACGCGGTTTGTGTCATGTGTTGGGTTGATTTGTCCAACTCAGGCTGGTGAGTTTGCGGAGGACTGTTAATTTGGCCACTATAATTGCCTACTAAATTTGTCTGGCTTTAGTGCTTTGTCTTAGAAAGAGAGTGGCAGAGGAGCAGACCAAGCAGAAGCAAAGAGAACACTCAGATGAGCAGGTACCCTGCCTGGTGCCTGAATGTTCATTCCTAACTTGCAATCCTTTACTATCTTTCCTACACGTGGCTGCGATGGCTCATGTGATCAACAGGCAGAAGATTCATCTTCAAGTGCAAGTGACTGATCAAGCCTCAGAGTCTGCATGCTCAAGGCAATTGGCTGACATCAACTGCTGAAAAGCAACATCCAGTCTTAAGGCATGCAATCTACTGCTTTAAGTGGATCTCGCCCTTTGCTCAGACGACCTCGAGAAAAGCGTGCATGCCCGCCTGGTAGCTTCACACGTTTGGGTTTCTCATTCACAAAAATAAATGTATTCAGCGCTTCCCAAGGCCTTCTTTTGATGGAATATCTGATCCGCATGGAGGCGCAATGGTTGCAAGCTTTTGTCTTTGTTCTACCATGCGCCAAGCTTTGTTCCCGTGAACCTTGGTCTGTGTCATGGGTTGAGGCCACTTGTGACAGTCTGGGACCTGCTGGGCGTGCTCGTCTGGTGCCATTCGACGAGCTCGATCGTTCGGAACTGTTCCATTCCGAGGTCCATGGCCATGTGACCATGTCTCCATGACATTGTGAGGTACAAAGCGCATCCTATGCACGGCTGTCCAAGTTTCAGCGCCACCTGCCCAAAGTGCAAAGCTCGATGTAAAGCGTTCACCCCGATCGCTGCTTCCCTCCGCGGTCGGAATTCAGGTTGCTGCGAAGTTAGCGAGCTTGAGCAAATATTCTCTCATTCCTCCAGAGGCCAGAGTTGAAATAACCAGCTTGACAACCAAAGCTTGTGTTGGCCAACAAAGACAAGCTCCAGCGAAGATCTTGTCACCAAGCTTTGAATTTTTGGCTTTCAAGAATCAGGCGATCTCAGAGAATGGATGTTTGGTGGAGGATATGACGGCAGTTTGCCTCAACCTTGGTTGGATTCCATAGCCGTGCCAACCCGACAATCGCGTGGCGTGGCAAACATGTCACTGAGTTGTGGTGCACCGTTGAATCAGCAGAGTCGTTTTCATGTCTAAGGCCGAGAAAGCCTAGACTTTCTGGAACGTTTGGCCTGGCGAGAGGCAGACACTTCCTTGGCTGATATCCATTCAGAAAGATAGGGTTATATAACTAGGGAAGCACAGCAGGATGAGGAAGGGCAAAACTAAAGCATCATTCTGCGGTTTGTGATTTGCAATTTGGAAATCAAAACCCATAAAGCTTGATAAGATTAGCTTGCACAGGCACAAGGTGACCATGTCTGGGCCTCAAGTGTCGTCAAGCTCTTGAGCACTTTCTTGTCGCAGTTCCTCACTGTACATAGTCAGCAATTCCTTTGTTGCAAGCGCAGCCGCTTCCAAGCAGTGACAATGATGCCACTGCTGATGCTGACAACTGCAAGGAGAGAGTCATTGGCCCGCGGCGTGCATCCGGTGCAAGACTCATGGACTCTTCCACCGGGGCCGTTGTTAATATGATGCATAGAATCTCAGAACCTACAATCAATATACAGTAGTTGATTGTACCGTACAGTGGTTTTTTAATGTTTGTAGTGATTGTGACCAAGGAGATCAATCCAGCCTCCCCAAGCGCCGGATCCCGTGCTTTTCAATTTGCATTGGGTCTCATCATGAGGATTTGTCTTCTTTCGTTCTTTCTTTCTTTCCTTTTGACCTTGTCTTTAGACCTTTCTTCCTTTTTCCTGGCATTCGTGATCATTCTTGTAAGAGAATGCCGACCATGGCTGACTGACTTTTAAGGTCTTCCTGCTTCGTTGCTTCAACACAAGCACTGCCGGCGTTTGCTAAAGGCCTGAGCACTTTTCTGTGTGAACAATAGAACGTGAGTCACCATGAGGCCTTACCAGATCTCCAAGTTTCGGATTTAGAAAAGTTGTTGCTACTACCTCAGAGCATGAAAGACAGAGAGACAAAGGGCCCCAAGGGCCAGCAGCTTATGGGCCTAAGGCGAGCACATCTAACTGAAGAGTTTGGTGATGATGCCACCCTGCAGAGAATGTTGGGGACCAAAAGTAGTGTGCGGTACAGTGTGCGGTGCTCATTTGTCACCATAGTTTTTCATGTTTGAGGCTGGAATGCTTTCGTGATCCAGAGGTTTGTGAGGAGATGTAAGCTTTTTAAATGGTTCCCTTACAAATCGTCCATTTCTGTAATTAGGTTTTGGAGATCATTTGGGAGGAATTTTGCAATTGCACGTGCAATGTCCTGAGTCCTTAGTGTGTTTTGGTACTGTGGTCCTGGATGCATTGGCAGGAGCAACTCTGCACTGACTTCCGTAGGCCCGCCTCCATACATTCCACCGCTGCGCTTGCTGCTTGATGAACAGCTCAGGTCTGCTTCAATTCAGCCAGGTCAAGGACCTAGTCAGAGCACACATCACATCTGCAAAAATAAGTCAAGCACACAAGCCGAAGCCACAAGTCTATAGCGGGCCCACTACCTGGATGAGGTGTAATCAAGGAGCCAACATTTAGCCTGCACTTGGCCTAGCTCGAGAGATGTGCTCAGTGGCAGCGTGAACAAGTGGGTCCATTCTCCATACGACATCAGGCAAAAGTCTAGATCGAGCATGCTGCCAGTTATCCAGGGGGAGTGCGAATCTAAGTTTGCAGATTCAGAGTTTCACCACGGCAAGAGGAGCTTTCAGCTTTGGCTTTGTGCACCAAAGACCGAAGTGTCAGCTTTCAATCCTTTGAGGTGCGGAGCTCGAACCATGTGCACCTCGGAGGGCCGCCTGCACCTCACGGAAAGGAAGCATATGCTTGGGTCCAACATGGTACAACATGCAATCAGAGCTCAGGACGCAAGCCACCTGGCCCTTTATCTGAGATACTCAGTGCAGCACTGCGCTTGGTCCGTGTGCCACGTTCGAATGCCGGAATTTCGGCAACGACCAGTGTTGAGTCAAGCTTGTGAGGCCATCACAAAGAGGGATCAGTGGGGGTCTCGTTGAAGACATCCTTTTGGTGTCAACAAAGACGATTGATCTTCGATTCTTATGAGCTGGCAAAAGCGCAAATCAAACATAAGCAATAATAATAGTTACTTTTCATGTTTGTTTTGGAACTTCCAAGATGCTGCCATGACTCCAGGCTGCCTTCACAGCGATCGGGCCGAAGACCTCAAACCAACAGCCGCCAAGCACGAACGCCTGTCAACTTGCGAGGCAGGATCACTTGCGAGGCTAAATTGTCAATACATCTTAAAATATCAACAATACATCATGCAGACAGCCAAAGTGTAGTGTTTGGAGGGTCCAAAAACCTGGTCTTCAAGATCTTCAAGGGGGTTTTTGTTGTCTCTGCCGAGTTTCAAGCCCACAGAATTTGCTTCGCAACGGATTTGGTTCCCAGTAATTTCCCTACAGTGACAGTTCTCCCTGCTTCCTCCTACGGCAGAGCTCTCACAAAGTCCCTTCACCTACTGATGCGAGACTTGTCTTCTTTCAAGTCACAGCCCGTTTCCATGCCGGTTGAATCTTCTTTTGAACGTGTCAATGCGGATGCGTTTCAAGAGCTTTCATTGACAGAGGTATCTACAACTCCACCTTGGCCTCCTGGAAAGCCTCCAGCCTTGGCCTTAAACCAACTGCAATGCGTTCTTGGTCACTACTTTTCGAACAGATCCATGCAGCGTTAAGTTTAGCTGTGTTGACCGTTGCCATTGCATGTTTGGTAGGGAAATGCGAACGCGCTCCCAATTTGCAAGGCCGGCCTTTGGCTGCGGACAAAGAGCCCAAAGTCATGGTTGTGAGCTGAGACAATGTGCGAGATCACCTCAAATCGAAAAGACAGGAACAAGAAGCTACTAGGGGCTCCTGGCCTTACTACTAGGAGCAAGGACGCTACTAGGGGATCCTGGCATCGCTACTGGGAGCATTCTTACAGGAATAAGAAGAAAGAATCTGATGGAATATGACTCGTCTGTTTCGAGCTTCATTTGAACGGCTTCCTGCAGGCGAGCGCTGTCATGATGCCCGTGCCGCGGTTCGTGCCAAGGGCTCAGTATGGCTTCTTGTCGCCTCAAGGGTGCTCAGCGAATCAGCAAGAATAGTAGCGTCCTTGCTCCTAGTAGCGATGCCAGGAGCCCCTAGTAGCGTGGCCCTTTGCTCCTAGTAGCGTCCTTGCTCCTAGTAATTGGTGACAGACCTTTTGCCCTTGGAGGTCAGTGCGGAGGTCTCGTAGCAAGTCCTACGTCGCAGCCTTTGCTTCACAGAACCGCGAGGGTTGTCGCGATGATACTTGCAATTGCTTCTATAATATACTCACGATATTACGTCTAGAATGCCTTTAGGCTCACAAAAGTCCAGCGACTTTCCAGAAGACATGATTCAGCATGATGCTTTCAGGCAAAATGTTGTGGAACAAGATTCTTCAGAACAGCATGATATCTTGTCAAGCCATGTCAAGCCCTCCCCCTCCAAGGCTTTGCCGGAGCTTCCAGAGGCACCAAGCTGCGAAACCCAGGGTGGCAGCATGCGATACCGAATGTGCTGAGGTCAAAGCCGCTGCGGAGGGTCGGGGGCCATTTTTTGCCCACGAAGACATGTTTTATCATGTTTTTATCTTCAATCATTTGCCCAGTTTGGTTGAGAAGCAGTTCTGGTGATTCTACAGATTCTACAGCAAGTTGATGTTCTTTGAACCGTTCACTCATTGAGGCTCTCGGGTTGGAGATCACAGAGACGTGAGAGTCCGAGGGGAAGACAGACTTTGAACCAACGTTGCCAGGTTGTTTTTGCGAACACTGTGGACCGCAAGCATCCGCCCCTGCACCACAATTCGGGCACGCTCTACCATGAGCTCCCCCAACCCAAATTCCATGGAGTCCAGCAGCAAATGAAAGCAAACAGAATTCCTCTTGTAACATTGCAGGTCGATAGGTTTACTGAAGTCCATGCTATTTTGTATTTGTAGTTATATATATTGTATGTTCCGAGCAACTGAACAATTCGAAAAAAAAGAAAAAACCAACACGACTCCAGGGTGCCTGTCAACAACCCCCTTGCACTGGAGCCTGGGCATTGTGCAAAAGTAGTAGTAAACTGATGCTTGATCAAAGGAGCGGTGCTAATAAGCCATAGAAAGCCAAGAAGGAAATATATAAGACAGGAGTAAACCAAAGAGTTGAGAGGTCTTTACTATTCCAACCCCAATGCAAATCTAGGATTTGGAATATTCATGAACACCTTTTACTATGCCCTTTTACAAACCGAGAGAAGGAGCCTTTGACACTATGCTATGCTAAGAATACGCCTACCCAGGTGGCAGAATCTCCAGGAGCCAGAGCAGACTCTTGGCTGCAGCTATGTTCTTCATGGAGCAGTGTCTTCCAGGTTCACCATTGAAACCTATCGCTTGTTTGTTTTCATTTTGAGGCCTGTCATGCTGCTACAAACATCAAGTTCGATATAGAGCTTTGACTGCCTTGATGCACTCAGTGCTAGCTTAATGACCTGGCTCAGCTGCCAGAGTGAGCATGCAACGAACATTGCATTGAAGGTCAGCCAAAGTGTGTTTCTTGCATCATAAGAGATTAGATTCAATTATGGATACTACTTTTGATGCAATGTCGTACTGTACGCTCTCCATGCCTTAGAATCCCAAAGACGCGTCGAAGAAACGCTGGAAAAAAGTTCACTACTGCACTTGCAGTACACAGTTGGCCAAACATGCCCCTGCTTTAAGCAGGTGGCCATCAGCCAATGTTCCGCGTTTTCCTAGCAAGAACAAGCTTGAGTACGTTTTTGTAGGATGCCAAAGGCTTGCGCTTCAGAAATCAACTGCTTGTGTATGCATTGGATTTTTCAAAGTACTCAGCTTGCTTTTCTAGGTGTAGATGCAGGGTTCCAGGACTGCAAAGCAATCTGGATCAAGAGCGCATATGTAGGTTTCACCCTGTATGTTAGCAGTCTTAATGCTCCAGAAGCCTTGAGAACGCCAGAATTCACATTTTCCATAATTCGGTCTCATTGGAGTCAGGCTGACTTCAACCAAGCCGGCGAGGCTGCAACGCAAGAAGACATCTGCCAATCCAAAATAGAGTGAAGCAGGAGGCTGTGCACCCCGCAGGTGTCCGATTGGTCCCCAGTTGGTTTCTTGAAGCGAAGCTTTGCCTGACAGATGTGGAAGCAGCACCGGGAGTCCATCCTCAAGAGTTTGCAGGACCAAGAGCACTCTGCAAGTGCTTCGATCTTGAAAAACTTTGCAATGTGTCCTACTTCACATAACATCAAAGTGAAAACAAGCACGGCCTTGCGCAGAACTGCGGCTTGCACCTCTTCTGCTTTTACAGCCGCGATAGAGACCAGATTTTGGTGCAGCACTTGAGGACTTAGGCGGTTTGGGTTTGGCGGTTTGGCTATCAAAAGTTCTGTGGGTAGGGACCAGAAGTGCTGAATGGATTCACTTTGCCAAGGTCAAGATCGGAGCATCTGCCCAGAAGCTGAGGGACACTGCAGCAAGGCAACCACTCGAAACATGCAGCTATGAAAAGTGCATATGTTGGTCAAATATTTCGTCCACCTTTGCCATTGCTGAGTCGTGACAGGAAGCGGTACAAGCTGCAAATGAAGAAGGACTGTGCACGTGCTAGAAGCAATATGCAGTGTTTGAGACAAGGTACTATTTTAGTTGAGGAAGCTTGTGGTGCCTTAGGGCCCAGGGGTCCCAGACTATTGTTTTCATGATAAAACACAGATTTGTTCCTGAAACAAGACAGAATATACAGACGTTGGAGGTTGGAGTTGTTTCAGTTGGACAACTTAAATGGGGGGCCCCTAAAGAAAAGCTATTGTGTAATGATGGTGGTAAGGGGCTGTGATGCTTTGATTCTTTCCGTTGCCAAAGATTTGCATGTGTCTCCCTTTTTTGGTGCCCTGCTGCGCACCCTTTGCAATGAAAGTAGGTTGAATAGATATCCAATATGGAGACGTATGACAACCACTTCACGCAGTCTATAATATGTTAGTGTTAGTGCCTGGGTTGTGTTTGCATGCACCTGGACCAAGCGGAAATATATTGTTTTTACAGTCTTGCAAGGGTTATACAATTTGCCGCAGTGGGATAAACGTAGTTTCATCTCCCTCACTCTGACCAGTCCTTGCACTTCTGACAAGGCCCCCCCAAGTCAAAGAAAAAGTGTGACAGCACGTTCTTTGATGAAGAGTGTATAAGAATAGAGTTGCTTTTGCGCGAACCACCTCCTATATCCTCGTGTAACTTGTACTGTAAGAACAAAATGACGTTGGACATGTGCGCTCCTCAGCTGAGCCTGCTCCAAATCCCTGCATTGATCACCCAGGTCCTGTTCTCCTCGTCATGTATGGATGTTGATTACAGCAATCACGCCTTGCCTTGCGGTCAACAGACATTGCTAAGCAAGTCTGCACCCTGATTTGGCTGGGATTTCGAGCAGACCAGAGTCTCGCACAACTCACGGGCCTGTCACGCGCCAAGCAATGAGAGCCTCCCTTGGACAGTATTGTTTGGACAATGCACCTTCTAGATCCTTCTAGTAGATTGGCAATCATGTATAGTATCAACTATTATGTATACATCCCACACCTCTTGTCTTACTGTCATTCAGTTTAGCTGTTTGACACAAAGCAAGCTTCACTGAATGAAGGAATATCTCAGCGCCTATGCGGAGTTCCGGCATGACTATCCTGGAAGGTCATTGGCTTGGTGGAACATTATCACAGTGTATACCCATTTGACATCATTTGACTATATACAATACAGATGCGCACCTGGCACGAATCTTTTCTTTGAAGGTAAACGAGTATATACTCTGTTCGCAAGCTACCCCAGTGATGCACTAAATGTTCTTGTCGACTTGGTCCAGTTCGCTTCAGAAAACCAATTCCATTGCGAAACAACTTTGTTTGGCAGGATCAGGCAGGTTCGTTGTTCGTTTGTCAATGATTTGGCATGCACTTGCAAGCAGGCCTGAGTTTCGATTCAATGATCGGCGGATCATTTCGCACATCTACCAGACTCATACAGAGGCGTCCATGTTCTTTGCCATGTCCATGACTGTCTTGTCGGGCTTGTAGAGCACCTGGCAGGATGCTCTGGATGGTAGCAGTATCTTCAAGATTTCGGACAAGTGGCTGGCTTGGCCAAAATCATGTTGTCTTGGAGAATCACATTGAACATTCGACCTGATTCATACGCTTGTGCTTGTCATGAAGACTTGCTCGGAGCTCGTGCCATATTTCTCATCCATAGGATTGATTTGCTCCACCACATTATCCAATCCAAAGACAAGGATTGTGCAGGCCTTGCGTAGGTTTTGTTTGTCGATGTGTTGGGATTTGCGATTTGCGCTCCACAACAGGCATCAATCCGTCACGACTCTTGCATCAAGGTGAGCTGAAGGCACACACGGCTGCACAACGGACACAAGTTGAACATGGTGGCACACACTGATCCAGCCGTCCATGATATGGGCTAAAGGCGTCCCAGCACATGATTTGAGGCATACTTCCCGATCCACGACGCTCAAGGCATTGAAAAGATCAAGGAGTTTCAGGTGAGGGGGAACACCTAACGAGATGATGTTGTATTGATTTTCGATGCACCCGTCACAATGAATAAAGACTAGCAAAATTAGAGAATATGAAGATGGAACTCTTGCAAACTGCCTTGTGCAATTGGCTACCTTGATGAACATCCCTTCCTGAACATTCAGATTTATGGCCCCCAGCCTTGTACTGTCATTCTGATCGAAGTACTTTTAGACAAGCAGCCGACTCTGCCAGTGGAAGTGGTTTTGGCCCGACGAAGAGCATGCCAACCGCTTGCGGGACTACTTCGGAGACAAGGCCCATTCAAGTCTTTTTTCAGCAGAACACATGCATTCTCTGACAAGAACACTTCAGGACCGTTTCGGACATCAGAACATTTCAGAATCCTTTATCACAAAAACACTATCGTTACGCAATTTATAATTTAAAGTTCTTTGGAAGAGCACTGCTCCACTCGATTCGTGTATGAACATTTCAAAGCTCCAGTTTTTGTTGGATTATGTTTTCTTTGAAGGCTGGCGGAGACTTTCTATCAAATAATATAAGAATATGCAACGACATTCCCTGAGCTTTCCTAGATCGCCTTCTACTTCCTGTGGATGGCCTTCTACTTGAAGTGGCTTATGCCACTGGCAGCTCTAGGTTGGGTTGACTGGACTAGACCAGACGGCTGTCAACGGCTTTCGAAATCCGTGCAGCTGTGTGAGCAAGGCCTTTTCCTGCAGTTCATTGACTGGTGCGTTTGCAGCCTTACACGAAGCTATGCAATGCTGTGCATGTAGGCAGAGATGCTACCAAGAGGAAATCAGTACTTTCTCATTGTACAGCTATACTGAGGCCCGAACACCTGACAATCCAACTGCCATCCCATTCTGCGTGCGCATGCTCCTGTCTTTGAGTTTGCTTTGAGGGTCTGTGAACACCACGAAGTCTTGTCCATATGTTTTCTGGTTCTTGGCTCATGCACTCGCACGCAGAACGCACGCAGAAGGCAACTCGTGGTAGGCCACCAATCACCATTCGAGTGTGATGTCCAACAACTACTGGCCTCTTGGACACACAATGCTTGTGTGTGTGAGGTACTCATGAGTGTTTGGTGCCTGGCTTTGCCTCACTTTTGGCGCCGTCAAGAGGCAAGTGGCAATTGTTGTTTGCTGAAGGGAGGTTTGCTGTACAATTCGTACAATATTAAAAACACTGTTCAACTGCACATTGGATGTCATCCAGTGCATTTGTTCAGGCAAAATATGCCATCAGCTGGGGCAGCTTGGATTTGGCTACAGCCTTGGACGTTGTTGGCATCATTCAGTGCCATCATTTGGGCCCAAAAGAGACAACACCACAGACGGCATGTGACCAACGAGTGAATTTACAAATTGATTTAAAGACGTGGGTATCGTATTATTAGGCTTGTGACAACTTGTGATATGTCCACAACTCTGACATAGACGAAGGACCTGTTCTGCTACCTTGCACGCGTGGACGAATGAGGTAGAACAACTGGAGCCGCACCGCCCAGAGCACTGGGGTGAGCAACTCATCAACCCTGTCACTTCACAGGCCCGAGTCTTGCTTCTAGGAACATACTTGCATCATTTCGACTGTGAGTCAACTCTGCATCCTGTGGGGTGAGTGGTGATGAGTGGGTCTGTTAATGACACCAAAGAAAACAGAACAAAGTTGTTGACTTGTTTGATGTCACATGCAATTGATACTGTCATTTCTACACTGTGTGAGGTGGAGCCGCATTACCCCTTGTCGAAGCGGATTTTCAAGTGCTCCGCGCATGCTGCGATGTATTTGTTGAGTTGCCGTAGAATTATTGTACAGTAGAGTGATTTGCGCCCTTTGAAAATAGAGGCATATAGAGGCCATTGGCATCGTTTTTAATG